TCAGCAAGCTAACAATGCTCGAGAATCCCACGTTCACATTTCAGCAGCGCGCGCGCGGTCGTCCAAATCGAGGCGGAGTCGGCTCTTGTGTGGAGATTGCTACTTCGTAGCTTGGCCTACACTGATGACATGTGCACTAACATTCAAAAAAGCTCTCTGAGTTTGCATGCGGGTCGAACGGACGTACCCGTGCTGCCACTCTGTACTTCAGTATCGAACGGGCTCACCACCTAAGGAGGGGATCCGTTTGGTTAAACCGGTGCAGTTTACTTTCAGCGGTCACCCGCTAGTGCAAAATGGTCGCCCGTTTGAACAAATGGGTGTCCCGCTTGCTCAAACGGGTGAACCGTTTGCCCAAAGGAGTAATCCATTTGACCAAACTAGTGACTGTATGCCCAAACGAGTGACACCTTCGCCCAAATGGTTGACCGGCATGGCTCAAACACGCGACCAGTACGGCTCAAACGGGTGACCCGTTTGTCAAACGTGTGATCCGTATGGCTAAACTGTACTAAGTCGTTTACTTTCCTATAGGAGCCAAATGGCTTTTTTAGCAGGAAAACGATATTTAACAATAATTAGGGCTCTCGTGCAGCTAAAATAACTTTATGAATGTTTTTACTGCGTAATTACGCAAAGGCATTGTCGAAATGATAACAGCTACGGTCGTAAACGTTCAGAGGGTTGTAGAAATTAGAACTGCCGAGAGAGCCGCTTACATTACTGCTAGTCAGGGATGGGCAAAATACATCCAAATATGTATCGAAATACAAATACAAAATACTTCGTCAAAAACGTATTTAATTAGAAATCTAATTACATTTCCAAAAAAGCATTTAATTACAAGATACAAATACTACCAAATGTATTTGGTGTCCTCCAAATACTTTTCCAAATACATTCCTCAAAATTTTCGTCAGCCACTTCAGGGCACTTGCAAGGGGTTTCTGGGTATCTCATTTTAATTTTGCATCGCACACTCGCTAGTTGGTGTGCGAGGCTCTAGTAACGTAATAGAAATATAATCACAAGAAATTTAATCAGCTTGGACGTAATAGGTGAAAAACGTACAAAGCTTCAAGCGGCTTTTTTTGTCGATTACGTTTTGGTATAGACCAACAAGGAACTGAGACGACCGAGACGCGCAGCACTAGCTAGAGAATTTTTTATAGTTGCAACTCGCACCAGTTACGAAAATCTGGACGACCCCCGCATTTAGAATGTTCCATGCAAAAATATGGATGGAAATTAGGCTGGAAAGCACCCAAAGTTGTCACAGGCACTGATTTAGCCAGTCTGCCTGTGAACGTCAATTTCGTCACTATTCTTGCCCTGGACTAGCACCGTAATCACAAAGTCACTAAACGCTTGTGCTTGATTGAGAGACACTGCATTCGGTGCAGAACGTAGTTTTCTTCCTGCTCTGGACAGTGACAATAAATTTGAGGGATGTATTTTCGCCCACAAAATTGTATTTAATTACAATTGTATTTGAAATACCCACGTTTTAGTATTTAAATACACACGTCAAATACATTACCCAATTTGTAATTAAATACAAATTCAAAATACACAAAGTATTTGAAATACGTATTTCAAATACCTGTATTTGAAATACTGCCCATCCCTGCTGCTAGTGAATTAAAATGGCATGCCTGCTCACCCGTTAATAAAATTTAATAAAAATCATACACGAAAGCGAGCGATTAAAAAATCGAAGCATGAAAACGAGCGCTCTGATCCTCATTTTTGATGCTTGGAACTTGAAAACAGTTCCTGCCAGACACCTGAATAGACCGATCTCACCAGCCAGTTTGACTACGCCACCGCTGCCGCAATGCATCGAGGGAACTTTAGTCTTTCTGCGCGTGCGACAAACTCGCTGGAGCTCTGCGCGTGTGGAGCACGAGACAACAGGAGCTCTCTCGTGCACTGCCGTTTGTCTCCTGTGAACTAAACTTATGGCGGCGTCACGCATGCGCCGAACGTTTGATGAGATCGGTCTATTGTTTCAAGAATACCGGGGACGTTTTGAATAATGAAGCGATTACATATAGCAGCAAAAATAGCGTTGAAACACATTTATTCTAGCGATCGATATGAAGGCCGATCGTGTCGGTGTCGCAGTTTTAAAAACACTGTCAGTTCAGCTCAACACCACGCTGCAAAAGAAACTTTGGGGTACTGCCGGTGCTGACTCAATTTGACACAATTTGACACAGCTGAAACGAAGTATAGAAATAGGAATTACATGAAAGACAGAGCCGGACAGAAACATTTCATTCGATGCCATAAATCACGGACATAGCAGCGATCTCATATTCCTCAATTAAGGCTAGCTGCTTCGTCAGCGAATGAAGAACATTTTGATAAAATAAACAGTGGGAAAAACTCCCTCTGTCGAGTTTTCTAATCACAGTCATTGATGTCGTTCCGTGGTAATTTCCGATCCTTCGAAGGCACTGGTACTTTGTGGAGTCCCATTTCTTGCGGCGCCGCGCCGCTACGAACGAAGGTAAACAATCAAGATAGCGGAGTGTTCCCCGTGTTGGCGCGCCGTGAGCGCAGTGTCACAGTGTCACAGGCTGTTGTCCGACTGTCAGACAACAAATCGGCGAAGACGGTTGTCGGGCAGTAAAAACACGTTTCCCAACAGTTGTTGTTGCTTCAATGTGACATGGTTGCCGAAAACATATTTCCCTCGTGTTGATGGACAGACTTGTCCAACTGTTTCCTCAATGTGAACAGCGCCTTTAGAGCTGCGGATCAGGCTGTATGTAGGCTTCACCAAAAATGGATTGTGCTGTTGAGACTATGCGAGCCCGTGCTCCTGGCATCGAGCGTGCATCTGCTTCCTTGCGAATGCTTGTTTAATTAAGGCATAGCCTCCTCTATACTGACAAAGCCTGGCAATTCGATGACGGAGCCATGGAATGCCCGGTCGAAGATTTGGAGCGCGAGGATCGGGTAGCACAGAGAATTTCTCGGGGAGTCTCGCATTCAGCGCACAGCTTTTGCAGCGGCGAGGACCCGAAACATGGTTTTCAAACCCGACGAGAAAGAAGCGGTAGCCCGAGGAGCGCGAAAAGCACGAGCGGACATTCCATCGCTCGGGATAAGTGTGTTTCGGCATCTCGCCGCAGCGGGGCGCCCGTTACATGCCTCTTGTCTGCCGCTCTATCTTTTCACTTTCGGCGGCCGCGTCACGAGGCGATCTGCTAGGCTTTGTCAATATAGAGGAGGCTATGGTCAAGGCCCCTGCTTAGCCTGGAATCTAGAGGCAGAGTTTTTCTTGAAATGCAGTACGCTCGAATCGCTAAAAACCGAGGAAGCCCATTTTTAGACCTCCTCGTTAGCTGGATGTACAGTCGGCCGCAAACTTTTGCGGGACATGGGAGCGCCAGCCAAACTGCCTTGCCGCGCCGTCTCGTGGCCTGCTGCCTGGTGTCAAGACCAGCGCATTGCGCATGCGTGGCCTTTCATACTAGGAGGATTGTCCTGTTCACTGGCTTCCGTCCGACGCGCTCCCGATTACTGCGACCGGCGCAAGATGCCGCTTCGCAACCGCTGTGCAGCGAGTCTGCTTCAGCCGGCGCGACGGGCAGCCAAGCTCGCTTGAACCCTCTTCGCGTCGCGGTGCACTTTCTAAGGGCCCTAAACTCGTCAAACACAAAGTATGAGCCCAAAGTTCGCGGAGCGCGTCTATTGGACGTCGGCGCAAAAAGCGCCAAGTCATCGTCGTGATGAGCCCATCGGTGCGCTCCGTCAACTTCGGCCCCAACTTTGTGCATGACGAGTCTAGAAGCCCAGATAACATTTCGCTGGAATGCTACCGTAGGTAGCATATACAGGAACTCTATGCATAGCGGTTACGAAGCGGCACCTTGCGCCGGTCGCAGTAATCGGGAGCGCGTCGGACGGAAGCCAGGGAACAGGACAAGCCTCCTAGTATGAAAGACCGCGCATGCGCAATGCGCGGGTCTTGACACCAGGCAGCGGGCCACGAGACGGCGCGGCAATGCAGTTTGGCTGGCGCTCCCATGTCCCGCAAAATTTTGCGGCCGACTGTACTACCCTGAATAGCTTGCATAGTGATGGGTTCTCCACTTGTTGTCGAGAGACGTTCAGATATTTTCTTTTTTTTATATGTGACAGCAAAGGGGGGGGGGGGGGGGGGCATAAAATAAATCAGATTTATTTGATTGAAATGAGATTTCATTTTTTTTTAAATCAGGTTACATTTGATTCAAATCAATGTAGCAATAGAAAACAGTGATTCTTCACTACTAAATGAATTTTTCAATATGATTGATTGATCAATTCATCCGATCACAGGTAACAATGCGGAAGAAATTATTAATGTAAATGTAAAGTACAGTTTAATTAACAACCTTTGATTGCTGTAATCTCCGCCATACAAGATAAAACAAAATAGCTTGACTTGTTTGGCATAGTCGAAAAATATATTTGATTCTTCTGTCGAGTGCTCACTTGAATGTGATAGGACATTACTTTTCTAGTTTTCGTTTCTTTCTTTTGCGTTCATATTTTATTGCCAAAGGATGTTACCTAGCTGGCGATTGAAGTGAAAGGTAAAAATTGGGTTAAACACTCCAATTTGCTCTGAAGAGCGGTTCTTTTCCTTCTGTTCAGCCTTATAAATTTTTCTTGCGCAATGATTATTTGATTTAAATACGAAACACATGCACACGCAAATACTAAATGATAGACAAACGGTAAGTAAAAAAACATGTTTCGAAATTGCTTTTGCGGGAAAGGTTTGTTTTAACTCGTCATAGTCACACTGGTATCGTTAAAATAACGCTTTAATTCATATTGATATTTATTCTCCACCCTGCGTGCGAACTATCTATACTGCGAGAAACGTATCTAATATCTTCAACGTTGCTTACTTGAGCGGACATGTCTCATCTTACTCAGCACGCTGAATACTAGAGAGAACCACTGGTAACCTAAATCTGATTGATGTTTGTGTACAGTTCCCGAGGGAACCCCGACGGCCCTGAACTACTCGAAAGGGACTGGTGACGAGTACGTGATCTTCTGGGGGCCCGTCCCCTGTGAACTTGCCAACGGCGTCGTGCGCCGCTACTACTTGGAACTGGACAGCGCCGACCCGTGGGAGAGCAGGCTGGTGAACCACACCACGGGGGACATGAGACTCGGCTTCAGCGACCTGCTGCCCTACACGCGCTACCGGGCCAAGCTGTACGCTGAGAACGACGCGGGTCGCTCTCAAGTCGCTGCCGAGCTCAACTTCACCACGTCACCTGCCGGTGAGACATTTCCCACCGAATTACTGACAGCACGAATGAACGATACAGATGTCGTTTGTGCAAATATGTTTAAGGTAACAACTGTAAAAAAAAAAGAATGTGAAGAAATTAGCTTGAGCGTGAGTAATCATTGGCAACTTCATTACAACGGAGATATGTTTAATTCTGGTGGCATTTTTCGCTTTTGGCATAGTTCCTGATTGGGCTCATTAATGCGTAAGCATTAATAGCCACATGACATGGAAAAGCTGACGGCGTCCGTCTGTGAACAAAACAGTGGAAAGGGAAGTGCGCCGCGTAGAGAGGAGGAGAGTAGGGAAGTACAAAGGCGAGAGGGAGGCGACGTCACGGAGTGGAAGCCAATGCGCGCGCGGATGCTGGGGCGAGTCTGAACTTGCAGGCGTGCCGAGCGGGTATGCCTTGCTTTGTGCTACTCACTGTTCTCTGTTGTAGTAGGCCGGATCGCGGACCGCGACCTCGGCAGCTGTGGCCGAGCGTCGCCGCCGGCGGTCATTGATTGACACCACCAAATACATAGAACGCTATGGGAAAAAGGGAGAAAAAGTATCATTTCCCCCGCTTCTAAGCTGTTGTCGGCACTAGAACATTTTGGCTGCTTTTCGATAAGCCCGTCAAATTGCTTGCGTACAAACATCAAAACTGACAGCCCTCGCAGTTCTTGTAAATGAATATTTTGTGGTCGAGAGTGACTCCGCTGGAGGAAAAATGTAGTACAGCTCAGTGAGACGAGGGTAGCAGGGTACCACGGAGTCGGTGGCGGTTTCGTTGAGTTGGGTTTAGCAGACGACAAGCTCGAAGGCTTTGCTACGCGGAATTTGCTCAATCCCGGAAAGCCGCTGTAGAGATGGAACTTCTTTGTCATTCATCAACTTCTAGGCTTCCCCGAGGACAGTCTCATTAACGGCACGTTCCTTTTTTTACTCCACTACAAGAGCCAGTTCAGTCGTAGGTGCTCTGGTACGTTTGATGTTTTTAATCGGCAACCAAATATCTGACAAATACCGATTCGATCTCCAAACACCCAACATAAGGATCGCAGCACACCATAAAATACTCGCCTTCGAGCACAGCGCACATGCTTTAATATTCTTACTTTGTGGGTTTCTCTCATAGACTTTGCGTGTATTGCCTGGTATCAAGCAATGGCCGCCGGTGGCGACACCGACGGGCCACTGATCTCAATGACAATTGCTGGATCGCGTTTGCTGCTCTGCGAATGCGGTCACTGGCGGCCATCTTTAGGTAGAGTTATATTACCTCTAGCCAAAATAAGCTGCTGCAGCCGCTATCATCCATCCATGGCAGACAGCGTTGTGGTAGTTGTGGTGGCAGGCTGCCATCAAAATAGCGTGGGTGATATTTCGTGCTTGATTGAAATTGTTTGGCGAAACATGTTTTTAGAACCCGGCGTGAACGGTAGCCTGACCTTTGAGGACCCGGTGAAAGTTTCACGAAATCGCAGCACCGGGGGAAAAGCAGCACAGCACGCATTGAAAGTCGCATCGAAAGGAGCATCGAAGGCAGACGCCGGTACGGAGTCTGTTTTCGATGCGAGCTGCGCTGCTTTCCCCCGGTGCTGCGCTTTCGAGGAACTTTCGCCGGGTCCTCTAAGATGAGGCTACCGTTCACGCCGGGTTTCAAGAATCTGCTTCGTCGAACAACTTCAATCAAGCACGAAATATCACCCACGGTACCGTGTACTAGACCTACGGCTATTTTATGGCAGACTGCCGCCATTGCGCTGACCCCCATATTATTATGATGGCTTAAGATGATATAAATCTACCTAAAGATGGCCGCCAGTGACCGCATTCCGGTTCATAGGAGGAGCTGGTCAAACGCGATCCAGCAAATAGACATAGAGATCAGTGCGACGGGCTCCCGATCCGCGATCCAGCCTACTACAATAGAGATCAGTAGCGCTACTAAATAGGGTGTGAACCAGTGTTGTGCAAAATACTCAACAAAAATATTTAAGCAAAGGTACTAAATAGTAAATACGCGTTTGAAAATGTATTTTACTACGAACTATCTTGTGTAGAGTGAGAACTTTAAAAAACTAATTGAATTTCATTCGAAGATACTCGGCAAGTATAGTTGCATCTTGTAAACCCTGAGATGGGGAACGATAAAAAACGGACGAACACAACAAAATCTCTGAGATTTTGTTGTGTTCGTCCGTTTTTTTATCGTTCCCCATCTCAGGGTTTACAAGATGTCGCTTGATTACCAGCTCGCCTGAACTCTCTCACTGCTTATAGTTGCAACTTGCACGCTAGTAATATAAGAATAAACAGGTAAAAAGGGGGTGCTGAACTTGTGATGACTTCGTTGAAAAGTCACAAGGAGTGACTTAGCTGCTGCAATCGAAATTTACTATGAAATAATAAGGTATAGACGAACTCAACTCTGTTACGTCACGGCGCGTTGGTGGCGCGTCGAGCGCACTTCCGGTCTGGGGCTGTAGTCGGAAGTCACCATGCGGGACGTGCATTTCTGCGTTGTTTTGAAGAAAACCAGACAAAAACCTGCCTTCTCATCAAAGCGCTGCGACTGGGGCTGTAGAAAAAGAATCGAGAAAGGTTTAAAGGTTAGTTTTCTCTCGCGCTCGGTTCGTCCGAGAACGTGGATATGTGCCGTGAAAAGGGAAAACCAGACGCCGTCGGACCGCGATTGTTTGGACGGCAAGCACTTTGGGTTGAATTCACGGCTACTATTGATTTGTTTTGTTCCAACATGAACGCGGGAAAACCATCAAGTTGTTCGGACCACCTGCGGACTACGTTCAGCGCGTCTTCAAGTTCAAATGGCCGCCTGATCGTTCGAACTGTCGTCTGCTCTTTCAAATGTTTCTGCTTGTCGTCTGCTCTTTTAGAGGACACCGGCCCGTAGACCAAACGTGGGCCCGGTACTAGCGATAAGAAGTAAGTGCAGACCTCAAAATACTTAAGTTTGAAGGTTGGCTGGGGTAAGCAGGCTCGGTGTAAACACTAGATACAAGGAGATGTCGATCATTGTTACCAGTAACCATCGTCGATTTGATATGCCCGATTGACTTGGTCTTATTCTGCTTGAGATTTTCAGTATCGACGTCGACTATCTCAGCTACGATTCAAGCTTTTGCAGCCCGAGCGACTTCGCGACTGAAAATGGCGAGCGCGTTCTCTGTAACGCCCTTTGATTGGTGTACGTGCCCCTCTTGGCGTTCTGACGCGCCAAATTATTAGAATACTAGCTCGCCATATAGAAGTTCAGCGGGGCTTCCCACGCAGGGACGATAAGCGCCGAACGCTAGATGCTGAGCCGCAGAATTGGCGGCTTAACATGACGTTCCAGCAGCTTTCGGCCACTTCCTTTCTTTTTGAAGCAGCAGCGGTTATCATTCGCTGAGTCCCTGTAAGGTGCCTCTGAAGAAGGACTCAGAATGTTAGGCGCTTTACAGACGCTCGACAATCTGCGAGATTCAGAAGGAAACACCTGAAACTGTCATATTTCTGCCGTATTTCAAGCAATTTAACGTTAGACGGTTGTGAGGCACAGGCAAAAGCTACTTGCCCTTGATTAAAGCAGTCCAGTTGAAGTGAAACACCGTATATTGAAAGAGCCAACGAACAAACAAAAATTACCAGAGGGTTACATCTGCGTCATTTCTTTTTCCATGCAGCGCCCAGCGAAATTCGGCAACTTCAGATGACAAGAAGCTTCGCACGGCAGGCGAGCTTCACCTGGTTACCACCGGCCATGCCCAATGGTCGCATTCGTGATTACGCGGTCGTCTACAGACCACTGCGCCTGGTCCTTCCGTGCAGTCCGATCGAACAAAGCGAGATTAAACTAATTGTGCCCATGTCTTCGCAGCGTGTCAACCTCGAAGAGCTACGTCCATATACCGTCTACATCATCTCTGTACACGCTGTGACCGTCAAACCCGGTCCAGAGTTCTCGGCAAACTTCACAACTCAACAAGCCGGTAAGTGACCGTGTCCTGAAATCGCACCTTCTGGAAGCCAGCTTATTCGCTGCTATCCAAACATGTCTCATCTGAGCCTTCATTCGATTGCTAATCAATGTAGCGATGCAGGCGAGTTATTTCATGATTACAAACTGGTGGCAGCGCGCAAAAATACACAGACGAAGGGAGGAATGCACAAGACGAGCGCCCAACTTCAACTGAACCTTTATTGAAAACACCGATGTAAGCAACCACACCGTCATAGCGTCAACACATGTTCAAAAAAGTTATTTATTTCTTGTGTAAATACGTACACCGATGTTTGACTGACGCAATTCCCAACCTCCTTTCCTATTTTGTAGGCTTCCAGCAATCGCCTTGCAGTTTTGTCAGCCCCTTTGACCAAAATTGTGATGCTGTCAAATTTCGGCTGTCAAATTATGCAGTAAAAAAACTCATTAACTTATTTTAGCTGCATGCCAGCCTTAATTATTGTAAAATAGCGTTTTCCAGGCCACTATTTGAGTACGGTCTTAAACAACCACTTTACTGATAGGTAAGTCTGCAGGGCTTGACGTCACGGAGCTGCGGCGGCGCTGCGATCGAGCCGGAGCCGGGAGGTGTGGGCAAAAGGGCGCGCGTTTTGCATGGGCGTCATAGCATTTCAGCATGCTCCAAAGCTGTGTAGCCGTTAATTGCACCGAAAGGTACAGAAAAAGTAGCGGGGTGAGTTTCCCCAAGTTCCCGGCTGACTCCGAAAGACGCAGAAAGTGGATAATATCTGTGAATCGAAAATAATGGTCGCCTCGCGCGGACGACCGCTCGTGCGGCAAGCACTTTCTTGAATGCAAGTGTGGCTTCCATTAAATCTCCGCCCCGAGGCTTGCTTATGTGCAGCAAAACCGTCGTCTGATCGAGATCACCGGGATTTGGTTCCCAGGGTGTTAGAGCACAAAGCACCGGCCAAGCGCTCGTCGGTTTCTCGATGCGCCCGCGCTATCAGGCGGAAGAAGATCGGCGACAGAACGGCAGTGTTGTAAGCATTACTGAAAAAAAAGTAACGAGATACGTTACTCGTTACTTGCAAATAAACGGAAAGCGTTACCAACCTACGTTACCTCAAAATAAAAGGAACGCATTACCGTTACCGATAAGAAGTAACGTACGTTACTTTTTCGTTACTTTTTTGATTATATGATTTAACTCGTTTTACTGTTTTGACGGTATAGGTATGCATTATGTTCATGCAGAACCTGAGCTTGATTATTATGTCTTTTTATGGCTTCACTTAAATACTCAGGAGAAAAAATGCAAAGAAAAACGCAGAAAACTCAGATATTCACGTGGCTTGATGCCTAAAAACACGGAAAAAATTGAAGTGGAATTCCTTTAAGACTTGGGAAGAAGAAGGAACGAGTAACGTAACTACGTTATCCGTTACTTGAAATAGTAACGTAAATACGTTACCCGTTACTGTTTTGAAAAAGTAACGAGTACGTTACTACTTTACTGAAAAAAGTAACGCGTTACCGGTAACGCCGTTACTTGTAACGTTTTACTGCAGAACGGACAAAGCGTCACCGCTTGTCATGCCTTGTGGTCATGAGGATAGGAAAAATATCATACCTTGTCTCGAAGGTGCTGTGTGTATTTAATCAATTAATAAATACACTTCCGCATACGCTAAGTCTGCTGATCATGCCGGCAGTGCGGAAACCGACTCGAAGTAATCGTAGGTCTCGAGAGACTTGTACGCCTGCTCCATGTCGCGTCCGTCAACTGGCCTAGCGAAAAAACTAAATAAACAACGACGTGAGCCGTTGACGTCAAGAGCAGCAACTTCGCGTCGGAAGTGCACCAGGTCTTGTTTACGGCGTACGGATCGTCGAAGGCAACGCCGTCCACGCACAGTTCGTCTCGATACCGCTGCCGTTTAGGCTCGGGTAGCGAGCTCAAATGGTCGGGCATAACGTACGACATACGTTGGCAGAAAATACGACGCACAAATAAAGCTAGACGCGTCTCTACAACGTCAACAAGGAGCGCATGCCATAGAACGCAATAGCGAAAACCTAGCGAGCCTTACCGCTTTTGCCCACATAGCTGCTGCGCATGCGCGGCCTTCCGGCTGTGTTGGTAAACAGAGCCGCGCCGTGTGTCGGTCCATATGTGCAGTCAACTTGTGTTCACGGCACAAATTCGCTTATCCGCCGATATGGTTAACACGCGTCGTCCAACAAAAGTTGCTGCTGTTTTTGTTGCCGAAAGCTGTCATATCGAAGCAACATTGTTGATGTCGCCTGTGTTGCTGATGTTCCCGCAATGTGACGGGTTTGTCGGGAAACAGGGCGACCGACAACAAAGTTGGCCAACTGGTAATGAACATGGTGTGTTTCTGTCGCAGCTGTGCTTCCTCAATGTGAGGGCCTTAAAGAAGCAGGCAACGCCAGCCGTTGGCTGGCGTTGCCTGCTTCTGCAAAGCCCAAAGCGCGCTCCGCTTTGGGCTTTGTGCTCATTCTGCGCTATTTTAGCTAAAGTTTAAGGTACTTTAGCTAAATCGTGAAGATATCGAATACAAACTGGTAGCAGTGCGCAAAAAATACACAGAAAAAGGGAGGAATAGACAGGACAAGCGCCGAACTTCAACTGAACGTTTAATGAAAAGAAAACACCGAGGTAAACAGCCACACAGTCGTAGCGACAACGCGCGCTCAAAAAGTTATTTATTTCTTGTGTAAATACACCGACGTTCGACTGACACAATTATCGCCTTCCTTTCCTATCTCGTAGGCTTTTAGCAATTCCCTTGCAGTTTTGTCAGCCCCTTTGCCCAAAATGGTTATGCTGTCAAATTTCAGCTGACACATGCGTGTGACACAGTGCAAAGGAAGGTGCGTCCCGGTGGTAGACCGCAGCGAAAGTGCATGTTCGCGTGCTCGTTCATTGACACACCGGCCAGTCTGGCGAATGTATTCTCGTCCACAACTTAGCGGAATGCGAGAGACCACTCCGACTGCGCACTCAATGTACTTATTCCTGTGATTTATCGCACATTTGTCGCCTCTCCCACCTCTGTCAGCCAATCTGGGGCATAACTGCGACATCTTACTTGGCGCCGAAAAGACAACAGGCTCATCGTAGCGCCTCGCTATCTTTTTCATATTATGAGAGATCTTGTGCATATAAGGGATTACTTCTAGTCTCTTATTAATGCGAAAACATTAACTATCTCATGGAGTGAAGCCAGCGTTGTCTGTAGCAGCGGAAAACGGCATGTAAATTCCGATTGGCTGAGCGAAACGGCACTTAAAGTTTCCGTTGGCTCAGCGAAACGGCACCTAAATTCACGTCATCAAGCACGCGCCTCAGAAACAAAACACAAAGCACTGCAACGCAGATGCTTCGTCACGGAAGCCGTCGTGAAGCCGGCGGGGTTCGCCGCGCCTCCGCAGTGGGGATCGTGATGTCACCGCCAGAGCGCCGTGTGATAAAGGAAGACGTGGCGCGCTGCTTGTTAGAATGCGCTGCGTGTAACGAATGCTTTCGCATTCCTAGACATAAGCAGCCTTATTTGGTCGTTCCCTATGTGGTTGGAGTCCCGTCTTGATCTTCCTTAGTAGCTTTTACGCCACCGCCTGCAAAATCTGAAGCTGGGAAGCCCGCGGCGCTAAGTCGCTCAACCTGCCTCCGAATGCTCTCCTGTGGAGTATGGGGGCAAGACCTCTCTATAGGGCCACCTGCAGACACGATGACTCGATGCCCCTTCCGTTCCGAAGATTCCTTAGATTCCCGTTCCGTAGGTTGTGCCGGCGACAAATATGTTCGAAGGTTGAAAATAATAATTGAGATATTGAGTACAAGATTGATGAAAAATGTAATTAAGATAGAGTAGCAAATATTCGACTAAAGGTATTTGCAAGATTCCAAAATACTCCCCAAAGTACTTGAAATATAGTTTCTTGTGTAGAGTATTTAAGGTAGGCACACGTCTGAGTCAAGGCCCCTGCTCATCCTAAAATCTAGAGGCAGAGGTTTCTTAAAATGCGGTAGGCTCTAATGGGAAGCCCATTTTCGGGCCTCTTCATTAGCTGGATGTACTACCCTGAAACGTTTGTATAGTGATGAGTTCTCCACTTGTTGTCGAGAGACGGTCAGATATTTTCTTCTTTTCTTTATGTGACACCAGTGTGGGAAAACATAAAATAAATCAGATTTATTCGAACGAAATCAGATTTCATTTTATTTAGATCAGATTACATTTGACTTAAATCAATGTACCTAGAGAAAACAGTGATTCTTCACAACGAAATGTATTTTTCAACATGGTGGATTCATTGATCAATTCATCCCATCACTGATAACAATGCGGAAGACAAATATTACTGTAAATCTAAAGTACAGTTTAATTAACAACCTTTATTGCTGTAATATCCGTTATACTAGATAAAAAGCAGCTTGACTTGTTTGAGTTAGTACAAAAATTTATTTGATTTTTTTCGTCGAGTTCCGACTTGAATGCATTATTACATTTCTAGTTTTCGGTCATGTGGTCATTACATTTCTAGTTGTCGATTCTTTCTTTTGTGCTCAGATTTTGTTGCAATACGACGCTACTTAGCTGGCGAACCAAGTAGAAGGTAGAAATCAAATTCAACGCTCCAATTTGCTCAGAAGAGCACTTCTTTTTGCTCGTGTTCAACCTTATATAAATTTTCTTGCATAATGATTTTTTTATTTACAAACAAAACACAAGCACACGAAAAGCATGAAATGATAAACAAACAGTAAATAAAAAAATATATTTCGAAAATACTTTTGCGGGAAAGTTTTGATTTAATTCATCATAGTAAAACTGGTCTCGTTGAAATGACGATTTAAATTATATTGATATCTGTTCTCAACCCTGCGTGAGAGCTATCTATAGTGCTGCAAACGTTTCTAATATCTTCAACGGTGCTAACTTGAGTGAGTCGATATTTCTTATCGTACTCAGCACGCTGAATACTCAAGAGGACCACCGGTAACCTAAATCTGATGTTTGTCTACAGTTCCTGAGGGAACCCCGACGGCCCTGAACTACTCGAAAGGGACTGGTGACGAGTACGTGATCTCCTGGGGGCCCGTCCCCTGTGAACTTGCCAACGGCGTTGTGCGCCGCTACTACTTGGAACTGGACAGCGCCGACCCGTGGGAGAGCAGGCTGGTGAACCACACCACGGGGGACATGAGACTCGTCTTCAGCGACCTGCTGCCCTACACGCGCTACCGGGCCAAGGTGTTCGCAGAGAACGACGCGGGTCGCTCTGAAGTCGCTGCCGAGCTCAACTTCACCACGTCACCTGCCGGTGAGACATTTCCCACGGAATCACTGACAGCACGAATCAACGATACAGATGTTGTTTGTGTCAATATGTTTAAGGTATACTCTATTTCACCTTATGATGTACCGCAGAAAAGGATACAAGCACGAGCTCCTTGCTCTATAGGGCACGTCTCGGTGGCACAAGCTCTCGTGCATTAAGGGCAGCTGCCAACGCTATGAGTTCGCGCTTCGAGCCTTCGCTGCGGTACTTCTGTTTAGGGTGATGCCACCCCTTGTAGCACCCGATGCCGACAGCATGCGCTCATGGGTAAAATACAAAGAAATCGACAAAAACAAAATGTCGCCATAGCACAATCAGCGCCACTACAGTGTTCTAGAGGGTGTAGTGGCAAGAGCGGCGCCCACTTACAATGAAGCGCGTGAAGACGGTCGATGTAGATACCGCGAGTGGCGCTGGAGTTCTGTGCCCTAGGAGAATTAATGGCACGTGTGCGATGAACGAAGAAGACGACGAGAGCGTCGCGGTACGCTTCTCCGAAATGTAGCACCGTAGAACTTCTTTCGCAGCTATTGAGCCTGCAGCCCAAGTGATAGGGTTGCTGAACGATCTGTCAGTACTGCGGGGGGGGGGGGGGGGGGGGGGGGGAGTCGATATTAATTAAATAATCTCCCTCAAAACACGGGAATATTTCAAGTAGAGGATAGCACACACTCTAGAGGCATTAGTCCAAAGGCAGACCCGTTGCTCTCGGGCAGAGGGCGCGGGCGCGTCCGCAAGACGCGACCATGTTAAGTTGGCAGCACCATCCAGGCGGCGCTGTAACGTCGATTTTGCACATGTCACGTTGGAATGCAAGCATCTGTCAGCATCTGTAAACGCGCGATTACAAAACGTATAAAAAAAAAAAAGAATTACGCAGCTCGCGGCCCGAACGTCCCATGAAACATTCCTTTCAGCTTTATTATCTTATTGCTTTCTTTCATAGCTTCCATGAGCCCGTATGTTTCACTTTACTCGATAGCGAGGTCGAAGCTATTGTCGCTAAAGCATGTTTCCCTGAGCGATGCTCGCACTGCACGAGCGCGCGTGCTTGGCAGGGACACTGAAAGCCCGGAGCTCGCTCTTGTAGCCTCTGCTACGCTGGCACTTATAATGAAACGGGGTATAAAAAACTCTGGTGGGGAATCGTATTGACGCATGTTCGAAACGCGAGCCAAATATTCTATTTTGCTCGCCTGGAGCGCTGCTCAAAACTTGAGAGCTACGGGCCTATTTACTATACTTCGTTTCACGTTATGTTGTACCGCAACGAAGGCTAGAAGCGCGAGCTCATAGCGTTGCCAGCTGCTCTTAATTCATGAGAGCGTGTGCCGCCGAGATGTGCCCCAGAGCAAAGAGCTCGCTCTTGTAGCCTCTGCTACGCTGGCACTTATAATGAAACGGGGTATAAAAAACTCTGGTGGGGAATCGTATTGACGCATGTTCGAAACGCGAGCCAAATATTCTATTTTGCTCGCCTGGAGCGCTGCTCAAAACTTGAGAGCTACGGGCCTATTTACTATACTTCGTTTCACGTTATGTTGTACCGCAACGAAGGCTAGAAGCGCGAGCTCATAGCGTTGCCAGCTGCTCTTAATTCATGAGAGCGTGTGCCGCCGAGATGTGCCCCAGAGCAAAGAGCTCGCTCTTGTAGCCTCTGCTACGCTGGCACTTATAATGAAACGGGGTATAAAAAACTCTGGTGGGGAATCGTATTGACGCATGTTCGAAACGCGAGCCAAATATTCTATTTTGCTCGCCTGGAGCGCTGCTCAAAACTTGAGAGCTACGGGCCTATTTACTATACTTCGTTTCACGTTATGTTGTACCGCAACGAAGGCTAGAAGCGCGAGCTCATAGCGTTGCCAGCTGCTCTTAATTCATGAGAGCGTGTGCCGCCGAGATGTGCCCCAGAGCAAAGAGCTCGCTCTTGTAGCCTCTGCTACGCTGGCACTTATAATGAAACGGGGTATAAAAAACTCTGGTGGGGAATCGTATTGACGCATGTTCGAAACGCGAGCCAAATATTCTATTTTGCTCGCCTGGAGCGCTGCTCAAAACTTGAGAGCTACGGGCCTATTTACTATACTTCGTTTCACGTTATGTTGTACCGCAACGAAGGCTAGAAGCGCGAGCTCATAGCGTTGCCAGCTGCTCTTAATTCATGAGAGCGTGTGCCGCCGAGATGTGCCCCAGAGCAAAGAGCTCGCTCTTGTAGCCTCTGCTACGCTGGCACTTATAATGAAACGGGGTATAAAAAACTCTGGTGGGGAATCGTATTGACGCATGTTCGAAACGCGAGCCAAATATTCTATTTTGCTCGCCTGGAGCGCTGCTCAAAACTTGAGAGCTACGGGCCTATTTACTATACTTCGTTTCACGTTATGTTGTACCGCAACGAAGGCTAGAAGCGCGAGCTCATAGCGTTGCCAGCTGCTCTTAATTCATGAGAGCGTGTGCCGCCGAGATGTGCCCCAGAGCAAAGAGCTCGCTCTTGTAGCCTCTGCTACGCTGGCACTTATAATGAAACGGGGTATAAAAAACTCTGGTGGGGAATCGTATTGACGCATGTTCGAAACGCGAGCCAAATATTCTATTTTGCTCGCCTGGAGCGCTGCTCAAAACTTGAGAGCTACGGGCCTATTTACTATACTTCGTTTCACGTTATGTTGTACCGCAACGAAGGCTAGAAGCGCGAGCTCATAGCGTTGCCAGCTGCTCTTAATTCATGAGAGCGTGTGCCGCCGAGATGTGCCCCAGAGCAAAGAGCTCGCGCTTGTAGCCTTTCCTGCGGTACATCATAAGGTGAAACAGAGTATACAGAACAACATTAGCAGTTGTTTCGCACCGCGAAAAGCTCCAGTCAAACCACAGTAGTAAGCACCTAGCAGCGCTGATGATGGGGCTGACGGGGGCGCGCTCCTAGGGCACAGAACAGCAGCGCCATGGTGTCGTCTACGCGCAAATCTTCACAAAGTGGCCGCCGCTCTTGCCACTACAACCCCCTCTAGAACACTGTAAGCGCCAGAAACGCGTGCAGGGACACGCTCTTTCACGCGCTTTTGAACAAAAAGGAAAAATAAAAGTGTGGGACAAAATGGCCAGATGTCTCCACTCTAAGCAAAGCGCACATGAAGGCACCCTAAAGTATAGCATTTGTAAGAAAAAAAAAAAAAAACATATGAAGAAGGATGCTTGAACGCTTCTAGTCGTTGGCAACTTCATTAAAACCAACATATGTTTAATTCTGATGGCATTATTCGTTTTCGCGTAGTTGCTGATTGGGCTCTTTAAAGGAGCTGTGCAACAATTTTTGTACTCTGCAGAAATACCGCTTAAAACGGATCCCTAACGTTAATGACCTATGAAACACGCGTTAGTTTTTCACCCCACGCAATAGAAGTCCCAGAAAAAAATTAAAGAAAAACGAGCAGCGTTCACCCCCTCAACTCGCAGCCAGAACAAGCGGCCACGTGATCTGGAGCCGATTATATGCCGCCAGTCTTGATCATAGCCACGCGCTGGGGTTGGCAAAGCGCAGGACACGCGCTGAGTTCCAGACATTGTTATGGCTCGGCTGTTGTCGTCGTTGCAGCGATTGGACACGGGTCACTACCCGAACGCTTCTCGAGCTAGCAATTATCACGAGCCCAAGTCGAGTACCCATGCTATGCTCGGGTCCAATCTATGAACCGCATTCAAATATCGTCACTTGGGTGTACTGCGATCCCCGAGTTACGTCATCAAATTTTGCAAGGGAGAGATTGAATGAAAATGATCGCTTTTGTCCTTGAAATTACACCGCAACAAAGGAGTTTCTTGGCCAATGGCGTTGCGTGTGAGTATCCTTGAGTCCCAGGTGTGCCAGTAAGCTCGTGTAGAGAGAAAAACATTCCAATTGAATATCGTTGCACAGCTCCTTTAAAAAGGAGCTGTGCAACGATAATCAGTTGGAATGTTTTTCACCTTACACGAGCTTACTGGCACTAGTGGGGCTCTAGGATACTCGCACGCAACGCCACTGGCCAAGAAACTCCTTTGTTGCGGTGTAATTTCAAGGACAAAAGCGATCATTTTCATTCAATCTCTCCTTTGCAAAATTTGATGACGTAACTCGGGGATCGCAGTACACCCAAGTGACGATATTTGAATGCGGTTCATAGATTGGACCCGAGCATTGCGTGGGCACTCGATTTGGGCTCGTGATAATTACTAGCTCGAGAAGCATTCGGGTAGTGGCCCGTGTCCAATCGCGGCGACGACGACAATAGCCGAGCCATAACAATGTCTGGAACTCAGCGCGTGTCCTGTGCTTTGCCAACCCCAGCGCGCGGCTATGATCAACATTGGCGGCATATAATCGGCTCCAGATCACGTGGCCGCTTGTTCTGGCAGCGAGTTGAGGGGGTGAACGCTGCTCGTTTTTCTTTAACTTTTTTTCTGAGACTTCGATTGCGTGGGGTGAAAAACGAACGCGTGTTTCATAGGTCATTAATGTCAGGGATCCGTTCTAAGCGGTATTTGCGCAAAGTACAAAAATTGTTGCATCGCTCCTTTAATGCGTTATATGGGTACCCACATGGCATGGAAAAGCTAACGGCGTCCGTTTGTGGTCAAAACAGTGGAAAGGGAAGCGCGCCGCGTGGAGAGGAGGAGAGTAGGGAAGGATAAAGGCGAGAGGGAGGCGACGTAATGGGGCGGAAGCCAATGTGCGCGCGGATTCTGGGGCGAGTGTGAACTTCCAGGTGTGCCGAGTGGGTATGCCTTGCTTTGTGCTACTAAATGGAGTGTGAACTAAGCACTAGCGCTGGTCCAAGTAGACGGCAAAAAAGACGGTATATTAATGATGGAGACAGGCTGCCGAAACCGATGAACAAGGTGAACAGCGAAAGCAGCGTCAGGCAGCGGATGCCGCTGCTAAGCGTGCAAGGCGGACGGACGATACACAGGATTGGAAGCAGCGTCGAGTTTGGCTGCCGGAA